ACACACACACACACACACACACACACACACACACACACACACACACACAGAAGCATCTGTCTTTTCACACCTGCTAATCTGTTAGCGGTGCAACAAGGATTTAATGCAGGAATTATACTGTACCAACACACACACTGATACACAGACTGGTGTCACTGCGAGGACTAACTAAAACCAAACTGGTCCTCACATTGACGCAGATACAAGCACACAGACTCACACAGGACCCCCCCCCCCCACCGTTTCTCCGTTCGTTCTGATAACTTCAAGTGGGCTTGTCAGCACCCTCTCATTGGCTGAGCTCCTCCTCTTTCTGTCCGGGTAATTATTGTAACAGTGAGTCTGTCTACACATCTACACAGCAAGGCCTTCATTAAAGCTCAAATCTGAAATGCACTGAAATCTCAGATTTTTCCTGCGGGATGGAAACCTCTGCTGCGGGTCAGTTAATGAAGACAGCAAGAACTCCAGGTGTTATCCAAGACATGAGTGATGAATCCTGACTCAGTTTAAAAATCAGTAATTACATTTTTGAATCTTAAAAGGTCTGCTTACTTTATGCGTGCCTGCACGAAGTCATGAAATGACAGTACTGCACTTCTAACAAATTACCAGTCGAGTAACAACTTTAATTTAGCTGGAGTCAAATAGTCCGTACACATTCTGAGAACATCAGAATTTTTATTTCATCACTTCAAAAATGAAGCAGTCAGCTGTCCTCAGGTTTCGCTCTCCTGGAAGGTCAAGTCTAAGGGACAAAAGACTTACAGGAGAGGAGGTGAACTAAACTTTCAAAATAAAATACTTTAGGATTGTGATGGTCCTTCATATATCCATCCTGCAGGTCTCTCTCATTGCACCGCTGATGAGGCCGCCCGGTGAAACCGTAGTTATGATTTTTGCTGTTGTTGTGCTTCATTTCTGTTGTTTTAAATTTGGTAAAGCTAAAGTTTGGAATAACTCTGACTCATTTTATGAGGCTCATATTCGCCCTCTAACTTGGGAGTTGTGACTTAAAGTAATACACATTACTCTGTACTTTTAAGAAAGAAAAAGAAAAAGTAATGCATTATTTCACTTGTTGCTGCATGTTTTCAAGAATGAGGCTGATGTGCAGAGCTGCAGTAAGCACAGAGGGATGATGAACCTCTCCAAGAAGACCTCTGTGAAGCTCTAAGAAGAGCTACACTCATTACATCACTTAAGCATTATTCATATGAAGTCCACAGTGTATCTACACAAACCCGTACCATAATAGGAAAATCTTTCTTTATTACCACAAAGCTGAGAGCCAAGCTCACAGAGGAGCTCAGATAAAGTGCCAGCTTTGGGGTTGTGCTGAGTTTGCGCTTCATCGTCACATTCTTGTCACTTTGTGGCACTGAGCATGGTCCAGAAGTTTTAGCTCAAGCTGCTGTTTTAGTTCCATCTCCCACATGAATGACGTGTGAGACAGCACACAGGAAATGGAATATTTGACTGTCCATCCACCCATCATGGAGATAAACAAAGTACAATAACTGTTATATTAGTTAGAGTGGCACCAAACACTGACAGAAACAGAAGCTTGGGTTTCTGCTGGACTGAAAAGTCTCACTCCAAGGTGTTGCCTTGCAGCTGTGGAGCTCAGGTGAAACTATCCCAGAGTTCAGCTGTGGACTGCATCTGGGACAAACTAACACAGCTCAGTTCATGCAGCCTCACACGGCGTCAGTCAGAAAACCTCTTCTTCTGAGCTGAGACGGAAAACAAAGGAACAAAGGAACAAACGAAAATAAATGAGCAGAAACTCAGATGTCAATTAAACACAGTTAGTTTCAGTTAAAGTTGTTTTACAAGAGAAGCTGCTGCCAACGCACTCCCGGTTCTGTGTGTTGATGATATCAGAGGTTTATTGGTGTCGGGGGTCACAGAGGACAAGCAGGGCCATCCTATAGCAGGAAACACAGCGTGTCGAGGGAGGAATATCTCTGTGTGTAGAGGGTAATATCTCAGGGAGCGCTGAGCCAGAGTGCTGGGCCGTGAGTCGGAAATCCTTTTGGAACAAGGGAACATGACTGGGAGGTGTGTGTGTGTGTCTGTTTATACACTGTGTGTGTGTGAGAGAGAGAGAGAATGGGAGGAAATGGTGTATTATTCTCAGTTAAATGGTGCTCGCCGCCCGTCCGTCGTTACGACGCCTCGGACCTCACACCACTCAACCCCTCGTTCCCACAGGACGTCCATTACACACACACACACGCGCACACACACACCATAATTGTCATCTTTTTTCCAGAAAATAAGAAGAAACTCAATTTTTATTGCAATAACTTGTTAAAGTGATTAAAAGATGTTTTTTTCTTTTCTGTCTTCCTTTTTTATGTTTATCAGGTTTATCATGTTACAGTGTCCTTACAGACTGTTCAATGAACCCTCACACAGTTAGTTAAACATCTTTTCCTTGGGCTGAATCACAGACGTTATATGGTTTCAGACTCCTTCAGGCTTTAAGCACTGCTTCGGGCACATCACTTTTTATAGTAAGGCAGTGTGCTCAGAAACAACATGGAGCACGGCTCGTGTCTGAGCAGATAACTGCTGCTTTATGCGCCTCCCGCAGAGGCTTCAGAGTCCTCTGTGCAGTTTCAGCTCATGCTGTTTCACCTCACAACTCCTTTGAATTTTGGGAGGACCTGTGAGACTCCAAGCAGCACCATGGACATGCAAATCACGCAGCAGAAACCCTTTCAGCCTCTCTGCCTGTTTTCAGGGTGTTGCATCTGCAGCTGTCTGGAGTTTGATCCTTTTTCTTTCAGTTTTGTGTCGCTCTCCTTTGTCTCCTCCACAGCAGGACCGTTTTGTTTGCAGAGCTGAGTTTTCCACAGTTACATGGTATTTCCTCTGCTGCTGGGGTCCATTAGTGCAAATCTTATAATGGATGCGGAGCAGTATGGGGACGATGTTCATCAGCTCCAGATGAAGATGGTGGCGTTGGAGCACTCCCACGACTGGTACAGAAATCCTTGAGTTTTGCTGCCTGACCCTTTACGTAGAATGTGGGTCGTTGAATTTGCAGAGATTGTGGGACTTTTGTTCATCCATCCATCCATCCATCCATCCATCCATCCATCCATCCATCCATCCGGACCAAAAAGCTAACAGCATGTAGCCGTGTACATCGAATGCTAACTGCTCGAAAAGTTCATCAAGACAAAGAAGCTAAAAACAAATCAAACACACGTTAAAAGCTCAGACGATGACTGATGCAGTGGGCAGTGTTCACCGATTTCCTTAGTTTCACTTTCAGCACAGAGACACTCTTGGTATCCTCACACGTCTGTCTCATCCGCAGGAGACAAAGTACCAAAAACAGCTCATCACTGCTGTTAGCCTGCCTCCTGGTGACCTTACAAACCTGCAGCATGTACACATATATAACATCTACAGACCAATGATACACAACCACACCTAGACACTGAGTCTGCATCAGTTCACAGACAGAATTTGAACGTGGAACCAGTTGGAACGCTGATGCGCTGTTCTGTAGGAACTGCGCAGCTCTTTGTTGCCACTGCACAGCATCCCGTCTTCTTCTGTCTACATCTGTGAGCTGAGGAGAGTAGCTGTAAACTTTAACGGAGGAACGTTGCCCCGTTCTGGTCTGATGGAGGATTCTAGCTGCTCAGCAGTCCTGCCACTGCTTTGTCCTGTTGTGGGTTTCATGATGCTCCAGATGTTCTCAGCTGGTCAAAGGTCTGGACT